CCAAAACAGATGTTGTATTATACATGGGTACTCGCTAGGTACAAAAGCAAATACATTATATATACCACAATATTGGCACGAAATGCTGCCATTAAAACACCAGTCGATTGATATGTTGGATAGCAAAAAAGGATTTCATTAAAATAGAATAATTATAAGTGATTAGTTGAATTGACCTTTGGAGTCAGAATACTGGTTAGTTGCGTCAGATGTCGCGCGGATTTAATCGAACAAATCCAGACTTTATTAATTTGTTGACTCTTTACATAAAAGTTAGTGCTAGGATAATTTGCTTTTCAATTTACACTTGAATCAAAGGACTTGTAAAGTTTCTAACTTTCATAATAGGATCCCACAAAATAGACTCAGCTGCGATTAAACGGTACTGCGTGTGTGGTTTACATAGCAGACTTCACTATTTTATACACTATTATTCACTATATTACTATTGAGAAAAAAGACATCTTAAAATGTCTGGTAAAATCGCTTTTGAGTTTTTAGTTTGCTCTCAATTTTTTGGACACAACATCAATTTCTTAGGTAGAGAGTAAAGTAGGAAATTAGGATTAATTGTACAATCTTTTGCCAAGGCTTTTGCTTTTTTTACGTATGTTATTTTTTACCAGATTGGTAATTTCTTATTTGTTATCTGCTCTATTACTCTATTGAGGTTTCCAACGTAATAAGAAAAATATTCTCTAAACAAAAGAACTGAGAATGGTTGTAGTGCAGTCATTGAAGCGAAAAATACGGTCTTACCTCCGAATTATTTTACTGTGAACCGATTTGCATGAAATTTTGGAATTAGGCTCATCTTACCCTTAACTTCAAAAGTGAAAATGATCTGAACTCCGCCTATTATTTTTAAGGGGTGTAAACAACCCCTTAATGGAAAATTGACATTGAGCCATTTTATCTCTAAAAAACATGTCTAATAGTAAGTGATGAAATTGTAAAGTATTTTCTAACATAATTACCTCATATTAAAATCATTTTCAACCCCTTGAAAATCTTACAACCCTTGCAAACAACCCCTAAATTGAAAACATCACAAAAAAATACTTTGGTATGACATAAAAAGATGTAAGTATAGAGTAAGTAATATTTTATATTCTCTGTACTAATTATCTAATTTTAACCCCCTTTCAACCCTTGAAATAAAACTAAATAAATAAAACTACCCCTTGATAAAAAATTGTTAAATTTTTTTTGGTAAAATGAAAAGGATTTAATATTATTCCACATCTCGAAAATGATTATCATATTCTTAAGCTTTTCTACCCTTAAAACTACCCCTAAATTAAAACAGTAAATATATATGATTATATATTTAAAAATAATTTAATTTAGAGTAAAAAATTGCCATTTATTGAATAAAATATTTACTAATTATATAAAATTGTACTATTATTATTAAAATATAATTTTATTATTCATGACTCAATGTCGGAGTCGCTGTCACATTCAACATCTTCTGGCTGAATTGGAGGGCTATTTTGGCAGTTATCTCCACTGCACGTTCCACAGGTACTACACACATCAGAAGTGTCTAGGGATCAAGCATTTTTATGCGGATTTCTTGAGATTGAGATGTGGCTTTGTAATAAATTTATGATTTTATAAATTTATATGGATCCTTTTTGGTGTATTTCATAATTTGAATCAGGAACTGTGAATCAAATTCGAGTAAAAGATGAAAATCAGCTGTCAATATTTTCCCTATAAAAACATACAACGCATTGAAGACATTATTAGTGCTACTGTTTCCCTACTACTGATTAAAACCAACGTTATTATGGAGCGGCGACGTCATTTAAGCAGGGAAGAAATGCTCAGAGCCGTGGGAATGATAGAAGCTGGTTCCCGGCAACGTACTGTGGCTTTAGCTCTGAATACAAGTCAGAGTGTTATCAGTCGACTTTGGACACGATACCGAAGCACTGGTACCGTGGCTGAGCGCCATGGAGGACGGTATCGCTGCACCACACGGAGACAAGACCGATACATTCAAATCTTAACTCGAAGAGCTCCAACAATAACCGCCATGATGTTAGCCGTGAGGCTTCATCACTCTTCAGGGAACTTAATTAGCGACCAAACAGTCAGAAACCGCTTGCATGAAGTGAACCTTCATTCCCGAAGACCGCTACGGGTACCACCTATAGCAATGCACAATCGTAGGATTCGATATCAATGGGCTCTTGAACACAGAAATTGGGCAGAAGAACAATGGCGTTTCGTGTGCTTTTCTGATGAGTCTCGTTTTGGTATGAGACCGGATACAAGACGTATACGACACTGGAGAACCCCTGGACGCCAACAGCGATTAAAATCCTGCCAGGAAGTCCATCCTTATAGTGGTGGAACCATCATGGTATGGGCGGGTATTTGGATCGGCGGAAGAACTGAGTTGATTTGGATCAGAGGCAACCTCAACGCTCAAATTTATGCTGAGACGATTGTATCAGACGTCATCGTTCCTCTACAAGTGCAAATCGGTCCCTTATTTCAGTTAATGCATGATAATGCACGACCGCACACCGCAAGAGTTGTAAGACAGACTCTCGCCGCAGCTAACATCAATGTCCTGCCCTGGCCTGCTCAGTCGCCAGACTTGAACCCGATTGAGCATGCATGGGATATGCTACAGAGAAGAGCTCTGCCGAATATGGAGGGTATCCAGTCGCAAGAAGACCTTTTTTTGTTGTTGCAACGAACATGGGCGGCCATTCCACAGCGTGATTTGGATGAACTCATTTTGAGTATGCCAAACCGATGTTCTTGTGTTGTTAGTGTTCGCGGTAGAAATACGGATTATTAATTGTTTAAGTTACCCAATAAAATTTTAGAGAAAACTGTTATTTCAGTCTTTTTTTCGAACTTTTGTGTTAGTGGTTCAAATGTCAAAAATCCCTTTATTAGGAAAATGGCAAATTTCTTTATAAATGCAAAGGTGACTTGGTTTATCGTTACTGTGACAAACGCAAACACTTTATTTGATGAATCCTTAAAGAAAATTTTAATTAATATCAATCAGGAGAAAAGTTATTGCAAAAATATATGTTGATCCCTAGACACTTTTGATGTGTGTATTACAAAACAGACCAACTTTTCTGTATCCGCAAGACGCTCCACATCCTTTTTTGCAGTTGCAAAAAATCATTTTCAGCAGTTCTTGTGGTGCGGGTGGATCTACAGACTTAAGTGGATTTAATAAACCGTCATTCATGACCCACCCCCAATCCGTTGGATGAATGATGATGATGATGAAATGATGAAATGTGTTATATATACATATAAGAACGTTGGTATGTATTCATGCCTATGTTTCCAAAATATATGAGCCATATTATGTATATAATACACATTACAATAGTTGTGGGTCTCTATTATACTGCGTACTTTCACATTGCTCCAAATATTCACACTCCGAAATTTTCAGTTACTAAGTAGAAAAAAATATGATAAGTTTTTGGACCATAACTCCTTGAATTTTTATGCTATCACAATTTATGAAAAACCATTGTAAAGGTAATTAAGAGAGCTACAACATCCTTCATTGCAATATATATTAAAAAACCTTTTTCTAAAACGGTGAAGGGTTAAAGGGCTTAAGAGAGGCTGTGATTGCGCTGCCACGCGCTCTTTAAACAATCATATCTCCGTCAATTTTATTTTGACAGAAAAAACAAAAATACCAAATTGTTTGTCAGAAAAACACCTAAATTTTTAATCCGTACACTTTTATACGTATCTGTCGTCATTTTTGAGATATTATGAAAAAAAGGGGGTTTTTTAAAAATTTGAAATTTTGGTTTTTCTTTCAATCGTGACTTTTTTGAAAAATATGTGCCCTGAAGCAGCCAAACTGATACTATCTATCAAACTCATCATAATAAAGTTAATTCTAGGCGGAATACGATTAATTTTAATTTTGGTGGAAATGGCACTTATGAAACCAATTGATTTAAAAGAAAAAACATTAGATGCTCCCCTTATTTGCAATACAGCTCACTTATTTTAAGTGCAAAAGACTTTTAATAGTCATCATAAAGCTTGCATCATATAATCATTTTAAAGCTTATTTCAAGCACTACAAAACTCTTTTGTATTAGAATGCATTAAAATGCATCTGCTCGCCGCTAGATGGCATTGACCACATCGATTAAATTTCGGACAAAATAAAAAGCGGCTTTGATCTTTAATATCTAGCTTAATATTGCACTTAGAGTACTTTGTAAAAAACCAAATTGTTCATTGTTTTACCTGCTACGATTTTGTTTCTTATAAAATTTTCGATAAAACTTATATTTTTGGAGATATTTGCAAAAAACCGATGAAAAACGGGAAAAAATTCGAATTTTCAATTGCCAATAACTTGAAAAGTATTGGATTTTTTGAAAAAGTTTATAGATGATTTTTTGCTTAAAATTAGGCTTTCTATCGATATCCGAGGTTATTTTGAAAAAAAAAAGTAATTAACCCCAGAGAAGGGGTGACAATCACCCCCAGGGTGGTTGCGGAGTTCAAATCATGCTCACTTTTGAAGTTAAGGGTAAGATGAACCTAATTCCAAAATTTCATGCAAATCGGTTCACAGTAAAAAAATTCGGAGCAATAATGCTTCAATGACTGCACTATTGGTGTAGCAGTTTATAACTGCTGCACCCGCTATTTTCGCGTTTGGACTTTATCACCACTTAACATCAGGTGGGGTATAGTAATTTGCCTACCTGGCTATATTTAAAAAAGACCTGGATTATATGTATTCAGAATTGCAATTCCTCCATGATCCCACCTAGTGAAAAATGGCGCGACTTTATTTAATTATGTTCCGTTTAGTAATCTAGCCCCCGTAGTATGACCACAACAATTAACATAGTCACTTTTTTTATCGCGTCTTACTGTCAAAGTCCATAGTAATCGAGCATGATAAAAACGACCTATATATCACATCGCGGTGTTCATGCTAGAAGGTTATTGATACCATGTTTGTTTTGCAGAGGTACGGCAGGAGGCCGTCCAGCAGGCACTCGCGGAGATGCAGAACAGACCGAAGCCTTCGCTACCCATGCCCTCCAAGAGGACCTCCATGATGGCCAAAAGTCCAGACAGGGAAAGGCACGACCTATGTGAGTATAATCAGTTTTCTAGTTACGGTAATTAAAAACGAAAAATCAAGAATTATATTAAATAAAAAGACTTGAACCATGGGGACTTCGCAATTATTTTCCAATTTTAACGGTTTTATTGTATTGAACTTCCATGGTCACTTGTGTTATTTACGGGATTGCTACCATGTAGGTTATTTTTAGCGAGTTTCCGATATTTCGGCACTGTTGCAAGCGCCATGATCACGAAGTTACTGAATTAATTACGGGTAGGATGTTATTGGTGTTGTTAACAGCGCCTAAATATCGGAAACTCGCTAAAAACAAGGTTCATGGTATCAATCCCGTAAATAGCATAAACTACTTTAACAGTTTTGTTTGAATTCATTACACCTGTTCACTTATCTTTATTTTTAAACAATTAACTATTTGAATTCTGTCGCCATTATATACTGTACATAGTTTTTTTTTTAAAATTATTTTTTTTTCTTAAATAAAGAACAAGTTCATCGCACTGGTCCGGTGTCTGTATAATACTTAGATTGCTATTGATTTCTTTTCCGCATTGCAAAATGCACTAATCTGATTATCTATTAGTGAAAATCATATGTTATGGCAGTATTGTCGTTACCAAGAGCCTTAACTGTCACTTTTGTCCCCAGCATCCAGCTCGGATGAGGACTCGTGCGCCGGCGACAACGAGTTGCCCCCTCCCCCGGAGCTGGGCTCTCCGCCCGCGCGCCGCCCAGCCGCCCCTCACCCCCGCTCCCACCCGCAGCCGCTCCTACCTCCGCAACCGCATCCCCTGCGCGACCAACGGGAGAAAATACAGAAGCACGGGCCTCGCGAGCGAACAGAGATCGACCTGTCCGAGATCACCACACACTTGCCAGCATGTAAGTGAGCTGCTCGATGTTTCAACATCATCATTCCCCATCAGCCGCACCCGCCGCGTGGCCAGTGGGAGAAGTCTGTCCGAGTTCACGACAATGTAAGTGAGCTGCAGAAAATTTCAGCATTTTCTTCCCCTAAACGTGAGCACGGCACCAATCCGCTGCGCAACCAGCGCAAGAAGATATCTTATTGCGCTGATCACGCGGCGGATGGCCGCCAAGAGGCACAACTATAATTATAAAAAACCAGTTAACTACTGTTATTTATTAACAAATTTCTGGTTAGCTTCCCATAAAATGCGGTTATAGACGGTTAGTTATCCGAGTTCGACCTATAAAAATGGTATTATATTTGTTAAACGTAAACGTAAAAAAACATTTAACGTATCTAAACTTCAAATAAATCAAATAATGCAAAACAAATCCTAAAATAATAAACTTCATTGATACTTACTATAAACGTGCAACTCGCAGGGGTGGAAACAAGTAATATTTTAAAAATTTGGTCAGTTTTTTTCAGGATCTCAGAGCTCAGAGAAGTCTTTTTCAATAATGTGTCTCATTTTTTAGGGTTCCATAATCTTGACAAAAAACCCTTTTAGTTTCGTCATGTCTGTCTATCTGTCTGCCTGTCCGTCCGAGGTTTTGCTTAGAGACTGTTGGCCTTTGACGTTGACTAGGGGTCTGTAATTTTATTGAGGTATGTACGTGGGACACTCAGAAAGCTTTGAGAAACAAAAAAAGTAACTTCTATGAAAAAAAAGAAATTAAATCTTTTCAAAGGACTCCACCAGCCTCTATACAAAGTTTCATGTGTCAGAACCAATTTTCAAATCATTTTTTCCAGTCCTCCGCAGACACTTCTTCCACGGCCTCCTCAACCGCTGCTAGCGCTTTTTCCGGAGATGAAAACTGTATCCCTTTGAGCTGATTTTTTATTTTAGGGAATAAAAAGAAGTCACGCGGAGCCAAATCAGGACTGTAAGGAGGGTGTCCCAAGACTCTGACTGGTGTGGAGTCCAGGAAGTCTTTCATTTTGATCGCAGAATGCGCGGGTGATTTGTTGTGGTGAAGAAGGACCCCGGGGAGCCTGGTGTTAGTTAGGTCGCTTGTTGCTCATTGCAGAAAAAACTTTTGGCATTAATTTTGTGCTTTACCATACGGCGTTGATGCTGCTTTGGTCTTGAAGTGGAATTGAAATTAGGTGCCCCGTCAAAGTGAAGAAATTAGCGATAAAAAAATTCTCTGCGCTCCTCGATCGTTTCACTTTCGTAGGCTTTGGTTCATTATGAAACAGCCAAACTATCGACTGACGCTTTGTTTCTTGATCGTATTGATAAATCCAGGATTCGTCACCTGTTACAATATCGTAAACGCGCCGTGACGAGCTTGCATCAAATTTTTGTAACATATCACCACACGGGCCTGCTTCTGAGCTTCGGTGAGATTGTGCGGCACCCAGCGGAAAACTATCCTCCTTACGCAAAGGTGGTTGTGCAAAATCTTGTGAACACTTCCTGAACCAATCTGCAGAGTATGCTGAATCTCTTCGTAGATCCATTTTTTATGAGACAAGAAAAAAATAATTTAATTAGTTCTCGAAAACTGCGGAGGAAAATTTGTAAATCGAACAATGGTATTTTTATTTTTAAATAATCGAAGTTTTCAAAATAATTACAAGTGTCCAGTGTCTTATACATAAAAACTTTTTCGCAAAACTTTCTGAGTGGCCTGGTATATCAATCACGGCGAATAAGGCTAGAATAAAATTTTGAATAATATTTTTGGTCAGTGCATGTAAAGTGGGAAAATGTTATACATATTTTCATCAGCGACCCCATCGTTTGTGGTTTCGTTGAATAGGTCCTGTAAATCTATTCCCTAGTAACCCTGACTTAGGGTTGCTAAGATTATCTATCGATTTAGGGCTCCGTTTGCGAAATATTAAACTTTAAAGTGCTCATTTTCGCTCTATGCTCGCGTTGGGCGGCCGCCACCCTCTAAAAGCTAAACTATTAGATAGAAAAATCTAGAAAAAATCCTTGTTAATAGTGCTTCCACCCCTAAACTCGCACTGTGCATTTCGATCCACTAGCGCCATCTGGCGGTGCTTGTTAACTGTAACAAGCATAAAATGTGATTAAATAATCGTTAATATCGTAAAATGCATTATAATTTAACTAGATGACCCGACAAACTTCGTACCGCTTACAATAATGTGAAGGAAATTGAAAGCTTTCCGTTCGACAGGAACACAGCTTTTTCCATATTTAGCAATTGTTTCGAGAAATCTTCTGTAGATTGATCGTTCAGCAATGTAACTCTCATGTTTACTGCCGAGCTGAAAATTCTTTACATTGCGCTACTAATTCAATTAATAGAGGCAGGCCCATACAGAATTCCGAAATCAATATATCTTTATTCAAATTGGATGTATAGTACAACTCTTTTAAATCGTCCAATTTTTTTCCCCTACGTTATTGGACATATTTTTTAGCTACAGAGAAAAACCAGCGAAAGAAACTTTACAACATTAAAAGTATAATGTAACAACATTAACAAATCATTATGTTGTTACAACGTCAATACAATCATGATTTATTTAAAATAGAATACCTCTTGGATTGATTGGAACAGTTCAAACCCAAGTATTTTTGTCTGTAATATAATCAGACACTTTGTAATAAGTTTTTTTAATAAGAGCTTTTTTATATTATTGAATTTATTTATGGTTACCTCTTGGATATTGCTTGGGACTTTAATGTATAAGCGAACACAAAGACCTTCAAATGAATTATTGATTTTGTGAAGCCTAGTAGCAGGTAAAGTTAGTTTATTTTTGTTTCTTGTATTAAGGGTGTGAACATCATTGTTTATAAGAAACAAATGAATACTTTTTCTTAAAATACTTCATTGGCAGCAGTCGATCTTGAATAACTGTCACTGTTTGGCATATCTAGACAGTAAAATTATAGCGCCCCTGAAACATATTATTGTAGGGGAGCAAAAGCGGGGATTTTTGGATTTAATCGAGCGCGGCAGAATAACATATGGGGAGCAACCTTGCACCTAGTTAAGTACTTCCACCATATCTGAGCCCTCTATGTAAGGCCGAACGTCTAGGGCTGCAAAAAGCAAAATTTCAACGAACGGTCATGACTTTTGGTTGCGCCCAAATCGTCAGTCTTTTGAATATAAGAAGGTTCATGTATCGTTTCTAAGAACGGAAAAAATATTGATCTGCCGTGGTTTGCATGTTATGGCGGTGGCCGTAAGAAGTGGTAGAATATAGGAAAAAATAACCGAGCGCGTCAGACATTGAGAAGGGATGTTACGTGAACCCTCCAATAGCTCCTATTCAAAAGTGACGATTTGGACCCGACCAAAAGTCATGGCCGTTTGTTGAAATTTTGTTTTTGCTGCCCTAGACGTTCGGCCCTACGCAGACGGCCAGAAAGAAAACTAAATTGATCTCCGCAAATGATAAAACGATGATACAAGTTGAAGAATGATTATTTTTTAATAAAAACAGAAAATTATGTCAACATAAAGAAATAGGTAATCGGACAGACAACGTCAAAAGCAAGAAGCAAAAAAACTACATCAGCTATGTGCGATAATTTATCCAGCTGACCTTCTTTATAGTTTTCTCACCTGACTTACGTCTTTATAGACGTAAATATTTTTTATCTTAGAAGGAAATTCACGTCTGTATTTTCCGAAGGAGTGGACGGAGCCGCGTGACCACTAAATCCTCGGAGGTTACTTTGGCATTTTTAAAGGGAATTAAGATTGGCCTTTACCCAATACTCTCGAAACACAGTCAGTTACACAGACGACCTCGGAAATTAAGAGTGGTTTATTATTCGGAAATCAATATCAAATGCAGTTATGAAAATACAAACTTTCATCAATCATCATTATCAACAGCCTATCTGAGTCCACTGCTGGACATAGGCCTCTCCAAATGCACGCCACTCAGATCGATCTTGGGCTACTCGCATCCAGCTCCTGCCAGCCACCTTGCGCAAATCGTCACCTGAGGACGTCCTCCACTACGTTTGCCTAGACGCGGTCTCCACTCCAGAACTCGTCTACCCCAACGGATATCGATTCTTCGGCAAATATGACCAACTTGCTAATCCGGTGGGCTATGTCGATAACTCTGGATCTCTGTCGGATTACCTCATTTCTGATGCGATCCTTCAGAGAAACGCCGAGCATAGCCCTTTCCATAGCGCGCTGAGCGACTTTGAACCTGTGGACCAGCCGTACCGTCAGTGTCCATGTCTCGGCTCCGTATGTCATCACAGGTAGGACGCACTGATTGAAGACTTTCGTCTTTAGGTACTGTGGGATCGACGATGTCAGGACTTGACGTAGCTTCCCAAACGCTGCCCAACCTAGCTGAACTCTTCTATTCACCTCGTCCTCAAAGTTGTTTCTACCTAACTGCAATGTCTGCCCGAGGTACACATATTTTTGAACAACTTCGAGAACGGCGCCGTGTATTGCAATCGGTTCCGGTAGAACATGTTCATTGAACATGACCTTGGTTTTATCCAAGTTCTTCCGTAGGCCGATGCGTATAGAAGAGTCAGCCAGGTCATTCAGCATCTGTTGTAGGTCCTGCAGGGTTTCTGCCATGATGACGATGTCGTCTGCAAATCGCAAGTGAGAGATGCGTTCGCCATTTATGTTGATGCCATGTCCTTTCCAGCTTGAACATATCCTCCATTGCATTATTGAACAATTTCGGGGAAATAAGTCCCCTTGTCTCACTCCACGATGCAATGGTATAGGACTTGATTGCTGATTCTGTACTTGGACAGACATGGTGGCGGTTTCATAGAGACATCTAATCACTTGGATGTTTCGCCAGTTGACTTGGCAACGCTGCAGGGACTCCAGGACAGACCAGATTTCAATCGAGTCAAAGGCCTTCTCATAGTCCACAAATGCTAAGCACAGGGGCTGATTGTACTCCTCAGTCTTCTGTATAATCTGCCGTACTGTGTGGATGTGGTTTATGGTGCCATATCCGCTCCGAAACCCAGCCTGTTCCGGTGGTTGGAAGTCATCAAGTCTTCGCGCAAGACGGTTCGCGATCACTCTTGAGAACAGCTTATAGACGTGGCTAAGAAGGGATATGGGTCGATAGTTCTTAAGTAGGGTCTTGTCCCCCTTTTTAAAGAACAAGACGACCACACTCCTACTCCACGCCTCCGGAGTTCTCCCTTCGAACAGGACAGTGTTAAAAAGCTTTTGGAGCTCCCTCAGTACGGGTTTACCTCCAGCCTTCAAGAGTTCTGTTGTAACACCATCCTCTCCAGGGGCTTTTCCATTTTTAAGCTGTCCAAGAGCAATCTCGATTTCGCCAATACTGACTTCTGGCAGGTCTTCGGTGGTGGCGTGTTAATGTGGCCCTAGAATCCTCATTTCCGGGATCGGGTCTAGATGCATGTGATGCGTATAACTGGCTGTAGAAGTCTTCCACTTCCGAAAGGATTGCCGGCTTTGAAGCAACAACTTCCCCATTTGCTGTGGTCAATTTCGTCAGATGGCTTCTTCCAAGAGATTGTACAAACACTTTGGACCCTCGATTCTGCTCGATGGCTCTCTCGATCGAGAGAGTATTGGAGCATCGGAGGTCGTGTCGTACGTGCTTACTGATCTCTTGGTTTAGAGTCCGCTTTGCCCACGTAGTGACGGGTGGATTTTCACGTTGTTCCTTCATTAGCCCTAAAGTCTCTTCTGAAAGCTTTGACTTCCTGCCGTTACGCTGCGTTGCACATAGTCTCCTACCCTCTTCCCTGAGGATCCGAACCACATTTTCGAGGTTTTGGTTTACGTCTGATGTGGTTTCCACGGCAGCAAATCGGTTCCAGATTTGACTGGAACGTTTCAGATCCGGTTATAGATTGGAGCAAAGTAGGTTGGAGCCTAGATCTCATCAAACGGACGCGCTTGGCCTTAAAGTTGATATTCAGAGAGCCCCGGACGAGTCGGTGATCACTACCGGTATTGAACCTGTTGATCACGGAGACGTCTCTGAATATGTACCTCTTGTCCGTCATGATGAAATCGATCTCATTTTTAGTCATAGTGTCGGGGCTTTGCCATGTTTTCCTTTGGGGCTGTTTCTTGAAAAAAGAGTTCATCAAGAAGAGCTCCTGCTGTTCGAGGAAGTTGACGAGCATTTGCCCCCTATGATTTCTGCTTCCAAATCCATGGGATCCTATTACCGATTCGCTGCAATTCTGTACTCCCACTTTAGCGTTGAAGTCCCCCATAACAACGTTGTAGTGGGTCTTAGTAGTGGAGTGGAGGGCCCTCGATATATCATCGAACATATCCTCCACTTCGTCGTCAGAGTGTGTCGAGGTCGGTGCGTACACTTGCACCACCTTGAGGCTATACCTGGACATTTCCACAACGTTATCGGCAAGGGACTTATTTACCAAAAACACAACGCCACCTTGGGATTGTTGGTCTCCCCCGCGGAAGTACATTAGGTGGCCCGATTCGAGGGTTATGGTGTCCTCCCCCTCTCTTCGGACTTCACTTAACCCTAAAATGTGCCACCTAATCTTCCCAAGTTCCACCTCGAGTTGCGCCAGATGCGAGTCAAGCCGTAGCGTGCGTCCGTTGTTTGTCGCCAGGGTCAGTCTTTTGTGGTGGCCTCCTGTAGCCCGGAGATTCTAGGCACCCCCTGCCCCGCCGTTACCATGGTCGCCACCGTGACCAGGAATAGCGGGGCTGCCGAGAACTGGGGGCCGTGGCTTGTGTTTCTTGTGCATGGAAGGTTTTGCCCATAATCGCCACGCTGGGCAGGCGGGTTGCCGAACGCAGAGCGTAGGTTTATTTACTGATGACGCTTCTGCTCGTCACCAGTGAGATTTTCCTCCCCTACGTCGTTGGATGGTTATACCGCCATCGGTCGGTTTGCCAGAGCCTCGTCTGTTGGTCAACAGGGTGCACCACGTGAAGGTGAGGTTGGCTTGTGTTCTTGCAGGTGTATTTAGAAACCCTTACACAAACTTTACTTTTAAAATATTTCTAGCATCATTTTTTTCTGGGTGACAAAATTTTTTTTAAACCTTATTCCTGACGACTGGCCCAGATTTAAGGCAGGGCAGGCGGGGCTGTGGCCCAAGGCCACAACAGAGATGATAAAAAAATATGTCGATGCGTCACCAAACAGCCCTCCCCCCCTGGTTGGTGAATTCGTTACGGGCCGCCACTCCTTCGTTGCCCCAGGGCCCCATAGCTCTAAATCTGGCGCTGTCTCAATAACGAACCAAAATTAACGATTTTGGATCAGTCGTTTAAAAGTTATGTTCGTACCTATATACTTTTAGACGATTACAAAATTCTAGAATTAAGCATTTAATAATGTTCTGTGTTGATTGACTATAAGTTTAAAGTGTTTTAAATACGATAAATATTTTCTGTATATTTATTTCCACCAACCGTCAAGTCCATATATTTGATAGAAAGGTTTGCGTCACGAAATATACTGGGAAAAAATTAAAAGGTTTTCGAATTCGGAGCTCGATTGAATTGGAGTATTGAAAAAAAAAGACGGAGCCTATCTATATCGATTCGACCGCAAATCAAATACGGATACTCTGAAACTATCGTTGCAATGTACGACCTGAAACGGTTGGCACGTAAGAGAAACACGTGAGGGGTTGTTTGAATGAAAAAGGGCTTAGAATTCGATGTACGCTCTTTATAAAACTACTATGATTAAAAGGATGTAAGGAAAGTTTAAAAGTTTCGATTTTTATTCAGTGCAACTAGAAAGGATCTTTAATTTTTTTTGTAAGTATAACTTCATCTTCGTGTTACAAAAATAACGCTAAGGTTGAAGTTTCATTGTTTGAGATAATTCTACATCGATCGGTCCTGCGCCGCTCGCATCCATCGGTCCTGCGCCGCTCGCATCCATCGGCTTACCGTGGCCTTCACAAGATCGTTGGTCCACTTCGTAGGGGGCCTGCTCACCGAGCGTCGTCCGGTGCGTGGTAGCCATTCAAGAACCTTTCCGTCCAACGGCCTTTCGATTCAGCAGAGCAATCCTTCGAGCGATATCAGTTGCTTTAGTTCTCCTACGGATTTCCTCATTTCTGATTCTATCACGAAGGGAAATACCGAGCATCGCTATCTCCATTGCCCACTGTGTGACCCCGAACCTTCTCATGAGACCCGCAGCAAAGGACCACGCTCCGCCTCCGTAGGTCATCACTGGCAAGTTCCTTTTCACCCTTTTTGAAGAACAATGCAACATCATTTCTGCTCTTTGTGTCATTAAAAAGCTTCTGGATGACTTTAAGAATCGGCTTACCGCCCTCTCCCAAAAGTTCTGCTGAGATTCCATCATAACCCGCCATCCTGTTGTTTTTAAGTAGTTTAAGAGACATACTAATCTCATACAAGTTGACGTCCCGGATATCTTCGGTATTGTGCTGAGTTAACTTGGAATTGGGATCTCTAGCCTTGCTTTCAACAGTGCTTGGGTGGCTTACAGCTGTCCATAGAAACTCTCGTTCTCCCTTAGGATTTTAGCTGTAGACAAAATGATGCTACCGCCTGTTAGTCTTCATCTTCGTCAGTCAGTTCATTTGAAAAAAAAAATTGATGAAATCGATGTAGTCGTTTTCAAGTTATGGGCGTTAGACACGCCAATAGAAACACCCATAGGCAGGGAATGGAAATAGGGATTCATTTGTATATAAGTATAGAGTTTTCCTACTCTAACGTTATTCATATCTCCCTAGATATCCAGCCTGATGTGACTCACACGACATCTGGCAACCGGCGAGGTGGCGCTCTGGTGGCAGACCGCGTGCAATGCTACGCCCCGCCAGAGGACACTGGCACTGGTACTGGCCGGTGGAAGGTGAGCTGTTACGGTCTTTTTAGATATCTACCTGAGAGACACATCATGTCTCACACAGCGTCTGGCAACCAGCGAGGTGACGCTCTGGCGGCAGACCGCATGCATTGCTACGCCACGCCAGAGGACATCGGCACTGGCACTGGCCGGTGGAATGTGAGCTATTAATGTCTCCCTAAATATGTACCCCGATGTGACTCAACCGACGTCTGGCAACCGGCGAGGTGGCGCTCTGGTGGCAAATCGCGGGTAATGCTACGCTCCGCCAGAGGACACCAGCACTCGCAGAGGAAGGTGAAAGGTGAGCTCTCAAAATATCATCACAGATCTTTACAAATAATAGTTAGATAAATGAGGGGCTCGATTCTGACATAATTCTATAAACTCATCACTGTCTTTGACATCAGACGCTTCTTTTCATTTACTATATAACCATGACAGTGGTTTATTTACTATTGTTAAATTTAGTGTAAGATTTAGAGAACCTCGTCAAAATCCAACCCAAAGTCAGTTTAAGCGAAGCTTTATACTTTAGCTCTTTGCACATTTCTACTAAGAGACGAACTTAATTCTTCGTATTTTTTAACTAGGTGTCCGCTAAGATTCAGCAATTGCTCAATACCCTGAAAAGGCCGAAACGACGACCCCTACCGGAGTTTTACGAAGATGACGACATAGAGTTAGAGATCGCCGCCAACCCGAAGGATCCGAACGCGCCTAAGCCCGAGGGAGGAACGATGACACCAGCGGTGGGCGAACAGCTGGTGGTGCCCGCCGGCCTTCCCAGGAACCTGGAGGCGGCGCTGCAGAGATATGGAACCGCCTCGTTTAAGGCCAACGTGGCGACCGTACTCGACCCCAATGGAAAGATGAGCAACTCTCTAACTTACGGTTGGTGAATCCTTGGTATTCCTAAATAGCTTAATATATCGATTACTTTAATTAGTTAGGTACTCGTTAAAATAAATAACTGTTCATTTTTAGAAGTCATTATCTAAGAGTAATCTCAACTTGATTAAATTTCGTTTACCTGTTGAACTTTCACTTAAAATACCCTTGTGGATGTACAAAAAAGTTAATTAAACGGTTTCGTAAAAATTGTTGATCGGTTCATTAAACGTTACCGGAAATATGATTAACGAAACAATTCGATACATTTTCAATGTGTTCGGTTTATGCTAACGCGAGTGTTTCTTTGCAGGGAAGCTTCTCAGCCGCTCGCTTAAAATAGCGCATGCGATTCTCAACAAGACGTTTACCTCGAAAACTAGTAGCGGTGGTCCCCTGACGGGCGATAACTCTATAAAGCCAGGGGACAGAGTGGCTCTCGTGTACCCCAATAACGACCCCATAAATTTCATGTGTGCGTTCTACGGGTGCTTGCAAGCTGGAGTCGTGCCAGTCCCCATAGAAGTGCCCCTGACCAGGAGGGACGCTGGACTTCAACAAGTCGGCTTCCTTTTAGGTTCCTGCGGGATTCAGTACGCTCTCACGTCGGACGCCTGTTTGAAAGGTAACTTAAAAATTAGTTTCATTTTTGTGAAAAAGTAGTATGTATATTCTTTGATATTTTTTCCGTTATTTCTGTATCAAATTTAGATTTAGACAATTAATGATATGTTTTGTTGGAATCATATTTAATTACGTAATTAGGTATTTATATCAATGTGTACTGTGATTGTGAGTAAAAGGATTACGTACAAATAAACATCTGGACCCTAAAGCATAGCGTCCATTTGAGGCGGGACGGATCGCAACGGTGCAGCGAGCACTTTTGCATACTGCGTCCGCTATACAGGGTGGCCTCTAATCGACGCAGTTTGGACGTCACTAATTGGACCAATCTGTATATCATATAAATGACAGGCATTTTGTTGCAATTGTCAATTTTCCGTATCTTTAACGATAAATTGTGTTGCGAAACAAGGGATTTTTAAGTCGATATAAATTGTCAAATTGTCAGTAATTCTCGACATGAAATCGGGGCTGTGTAAAATTTGCGTTATAATTGTAGCGTTTTCGTAGTTAGTTTCAAAATTGCTCTCCGCCAAAGCTGGAGAAGATGAGTTCTTATACAGGAGAATTTATAAAAAAAATGGGTGCGTGTACTTATGTAGGCGCGTGAGAAGTTATCCTTCTTTGGCATCGTTTAATAGTATATTTCATTACTAGTACGGAATGGTTGTCATTGCAAAGAGTTCCGACAAATGTCTACCCGAGCCGAAGGCGAGGGTTGACAGTCGGAACGAGTTGCAATGACGGTTCCGTACGTGTACTGAACGACTACTTTTAATACAGTTGCGAAAAAATGAAGCAATTTAATCAAATTATAAAAACACAATAAACTCAATTAACTAATCATTTATTTCTTATAAAAGTTATAATTCACTTAAACATTGAAATTGGTACAGTTTTTTATACTAACTGGGGAAGTTTTACGTTGCATATTTACTGAAAAAAGCGGTCGGCTTTTCCTTTTTGGGACCGCTGGTTCATATATTTTTTCACTATTGTGAGAAAATCACCTTCCACAACAAAGCTTCGCGGTATCTTATTTTTTGTGTTTGGAATCTTGATAAGTAGCATTTCTCCATGGGCTTCAATATCTTTTAAAGTAATATTGGCTAACTCCTCTCTGCGGCAAGCTCCAACAACGCCAAAAATCAGAGCAACCTAAAAAAAAAACGATTTGATTCATATAAATAATGTATTGACTGTATTTTGCGATTTTGTAAACTGAACACTAAAGAAAAATGTAGATATGTATACTTATTAATAAATTACCTTTGCGGCTAAATAACAATCATCGGGAGCTTCTTTCAAAAACCTTTCCACGTCATTCGATGTTAATATTTTCGACTTTTTACTGGTAAACCCGTCTGATTGTCGTTTTAAGAAAGAATTTAATTTTGGATATTGACTTATATCCACGTTGTTCCTTATTTTCAGCATACTTTTTATCATCTAAAACATTGACAATAACGTAGAAGGTTTTAATTTTGCTGAGAGTTCGGAAAAGTATGCCAACATAACATTTTCTGAAAAACTCCGAAAAAAAAGCAAATCTTTTTTCTCTTCTTTCCACGCAATAAATTCATCGTATGTAGATATGTAGCGAATTTTTGACTTTTCCGGTAAAATGTTCTCCGAAGCATTTTGTGCAATTATACTGAGTTCCGGTGGAGTTAATTAAAAAAAAATTTGGTCGAAATTACTCATTTTGTGTAAAAAACAACTAAACTCGCAAAGAAAATTTCGGAAAATGGCGCCTACCGCAGAATGTAAGCAGTTTTTTTTCACCCATTCTGGTAGGCAAAGGGAACTGCCCATACAGCCAAGTCTTTAGTACTTAGTATTTTTTATTATAAGAAATGAAATTGAAATTTAATGATATGAAATGAACTGAAACCTTACCTAACTCATTCAATCAATTAATTAATTCTGATATTGGACAAATTAGTATAGGTAGCTTCTTTTAAAAAAACAAATAAACCTATTTGAATGAATCGCAAAAACTTCTATGATTTTTTTTAGTTAAAACTTCATGGTTGTTTTTTTTAATAGAAATAATTTTGACAGTTGGGAAAGAAAACGCACGAGTTCGGGAAAGGCAAAAAAAAAGCACGAGTGTGAAATAGCCCAGATCCCGAACGCTACACGTCCCTGCAATACGCCACTTTTTGAGCAACTGTATTAAAAAATTAGTTTTTAATTGCATGCAAATAATTAATTACAATAAATTAATAAAAAGTCTGGAAAAGGACGAAGTCAATAAAGTTCAGTTTTAATTTGAAAAAATAAATAAATAATCAAAATATTCAATTAAAATCGCTACTGAATATAATTTATTAGAACATATGTGATTTGCACTTGTATGAAACTCAAACACGTATTCCGAATATACAAACTAGAAACATGTGGATAAATATTATAAATATGAATACCTATAACTGTTACTTTATTACAAAAAATAAAGATGTGGTTTTTGGTTCTACTACACCAATGGTCAAGAGATGGCGCTGTAGTCTCCTGAATCGCGCTTTGGTTCCGTTGTTCCAGATTAATAAATACTTTTGATAGGCCTTCACAATGCAGTTGTTAGCACCCACTAAATAGATATTCTATTTCTATTTTGTTGGTAGATTTTCTTAATGTGCGGTAAACACAAAAGTAACGCATGAAGTTGGTCGCTAAAGCGACCAACTTCATTATGTTAAAATTTTGTGTTACAGTGATGCGCGCGCATCTTAAAATTTCACTCTCATCATTTTTTCATAACGCGCCTAAAGAAGTATAACTTCAAAAAGAATAACTTTCTCTTTGATATCACTAATTTTGCATTCAAATAAAAAGAAGATATTAATAGATCACCCCACATCAAACCGTCGGCTTACATTATGTCGGGTTGGTGAAATGGGGCACTGGTACTACTACGACACATAATGATTACATATAAAAATCTAAGCACTTTGTCTATATGTTTATGATGATCTCTAAAACTGATGAACTAATTTTCATACTTACTATACTGATTATTGTCATTAGAATTTTTTTACGCATGTTTTTATTTGTAATAAATGGCTAAGAACAAAAACTATAGGCTAAACCGAAAAGAAGTAAGGGCGGATCACGGGGCGGATTCATATTATTTGATAAGGTACCTATACAGGGTGAAATTGAATGTTTCTATGAAACTTCGTGAGATTGATGGGTTACGTGTATAGAGTATGCCTGATTTTTTACGGATTTTTTAAAATAATTTTTTTCGTTTTTTAATTTTATATTTGGTTATTTTTTTGTCATTTCTTCCTTATGAGTAATTATTCATTTTAAACACGTCTACATAGAAGTTATAAAGCAACTTAAAATAAGCACTACTAAAAAAACGGAAACTTAATGAATGCCTTCATTATGCCTCCAGTCGAGATCAGCGCCGGTCGGGGCGACGACCGGCGGCCGCCTAGGTACCACAAATGACTCGGCGCTTACCTACTCTCCGCTTTGATCCACACTATTTAAAAACAATCCAATAAAATAGTCTTAGATGCTATATTATAATTATTTATTCACTGATACACAATACCTTTGAATATTATTTCATAAAGCACAGGTAATTAATCAATAAAATAAATCTTAAAATTAAGAGCAAATCGGTATAACTTACGAGCTTAGTGAAGGAAGGAACTCTTCGTGTCTGATTTGCCCACGTCATGAAATTCCGAACACATTTAATCACAGCCACAGTCACACATACACACACGCACAAATGACTCGGCGCTTACCTACTCTCCGCTTTGATCCACACTATTTAAAAACAATCCAATAAAATAGTCTTAGATGCTATATTATAATTATTTATTCACTGATACACAATACCTTTGAATATTATTTCATAAAGCACAGGTAATTAATCAATAAAATAAATCTTAAAATTAAGAGCAAATCGGTATAACTTACGAGCTTAGTGAAGGAAGGAACTCTTCGTGTCTGATTTGCCCACGTCATGAAATTCCGAACACATTTAATCACAGCCACAGTCACACATACACACACGCACACACACACACACATAATAATATGTTGTTTTGCGGCAAGCACGGGCGGGCGGCGCGCCGCACGCTGGCAACTAGCGCCGGTTGCGGCGTCGTTGATGATGTGAATTCCGCCCACCTCCCCTCTTCCCCGCACGCGGACGTTTGCTTTGATTACATGCAAAACGCAGTCGCAAGTATATCAATCGCGCGTGAGCGTGCGCATCTTTTGACTTGGTGACATACACTGTGATAATTTCATAATGCCTCGGTATACAAACCAAGAATATTTAGAGATGGTGTACTGCTATCGCGAGTGTGACGAAGTAGGTTTGGTTTACGAATGAGTCCCCAAACCATAGAAGTTGCATTTTGTGCAGTGAGTAGTGATAGGGACACTTTAAAAAAGGTGAAAAGACACGTCCGCAAACATGCCTACCTTTGTTTGCAGCAAAATGGTGGTTTAGAGCAACAATTTTGCAGATAATAATTTAAGTCTCTTTTTATTGCTAGTGTAAATACTTTTTGATTAGAAACAACTAATTGTGTACTACCAGTGTGATTGATTTGATAAAAAGTTCTAGTGAAAAAAATGAATATGTTCCTCGTTCCTCGTTGTACCTACCGACATCGCCGGTCTCGTAAGTACTTTTGAATACCTGGTTATAAATTTCATTCTGACCCAAGTATTAAGCAATAAGTATTTCTTTTTGTTTAACATTTGCCTATTTCCAATCGTGACAAAATTATTATTAACTTATAAAGTTTTTCTCTGCTTAAGAGAAGATGACATTTGTGCTTATTATTTCAATTTCAATAAAGGCATCTAAGACGATTATATTGTATTGTGTGGAATCAAACGAGTCAGTTGAGCTCTGTGTAGAGTTAGGTACCTACTCACTCAACGGCTGGCGGGCGCGGTCGGTCGTTGACCCGCGGTGGAATTTCAATGTTTTTCCGTTTTTTAGAAGTGCTTATTTAT